AGAAGCGCCGATCAGCTGGAATGTTGCAGCCTCTCCAGGGTCTTGTGATTTACATTCAGATGCTTGGCAACTGATTCATATTTATGACGGTCACAGTGTCCCAGGGTCATGTGAAGGGACCAAAACCTGCTGCAACCACCCAGCAGATGGGGGGAATAAAAACCAAACACCCCCCACCCCACCCCCGCTGCCAATCCTCAACAGAAATGCTCACAACAATGAAAACCTCAAACAGGAGGAAGAGCACCACCGGGTGGGCAGGCAGGTGTGTTGCTCGGCTGTGGCTCGGGGGTCGCTTTTTTCAGTGCCATTGTAACTGCGAACAGTCACTAAGCAAACTGTTGTAAGTCAAGGACTTTATCACTTTTTTCCTTTTTTTTTTTTGTCATCAAGTTTTTGACACCTTGCTAGGCGACGGGTGGTATTCAGATATTGCCATATCCTAAAAGTGGTACAATGGGTGAAAAGGTTGAAAAGCCCTGACGTAGAGCACATTATTGCAATAATCCAGCCATGATTATTTATTTCATATAGATCCCTTCTTTTGTACTCTGTATACCTTCAGCTTGCTTGTCTCACATTTTGAACTGACTTGAGTTCAAGGGAAAGGAGGATGTTGCTGATTTATCCCTGTCTTGGTAAACAGATCAATGAAAACTCAACCCAACTTATTCAAAGAAGAGAGCGTGACAGGGAATCCCAGTGTCGGCTGCCATAACCATGGGAAAGAACAGTCTCTCCAGCCAGGAACATTGGATCTGCCAATTTCAGGTTTTGCAAATCCTTTGGCTGCCGGCAGCTCTCCTGCAGAGGAAACGGAACATTTGATGGGAGATTGCTCTGAAGAAGATAAGCAGAACGATGATTTCCAAACAGAATTTAGGGACGATCTGAATTCTGAGAAAGAAGGAGAGCTCAATGAAGTCCCTGCTGAGTCCATCAAACCACCGGAGGAGAAACTGGAAGGAGATATAGTTGAAGAAAGAGAGGCACAATCATTAGAATTGCCTGTGCTACCCCAAGAACCCATTCAAGACTTGGAGCCACTGGTGGAAATTCCTAGCGACAAAATAAAAAAGGCCAGATTGGATCGGCTACGGAAGCTGGGGGTGGATCTGAGTATTAAGCCTAAGCTATGTTCTGGCATGGAGTCGTTTATTGATCTTGATGAACCTGAACCCAACAGAGGTATGGTAACCCTGAACCTGGTTTGATTGCTGCTCTGTATCTAGCTGTGCTAAGTCTCTTTGTGTAGAAGCCCCTCCGTGCAATTTATTCTGAGAGGTTTGCGGAGAGGTAGGAAAGACATGTTGTGTGGCATTTTTTCCTAAACTGTCTGCTGTTCTTGGCTTCTTCATTTTTTGGTACTGAATCATAGCAGCAGCAATTGATCCTTTATCAAAGATGATGCCATAGTGTGTCCAATCAGTTCACCAAGCTCACATATAGATAGTCCTTGACTTAACAACTCTGTTGATATAGATATCGTGATAATCATTATGGCACACAGCAGTTGCAAGAAGAGAAAGAAATGAAAAAAACACATTTTTTTCTATTGCAAACACTTCCTATTATGATCGACTTGGGCAGTTTCTAATTTGCAGAAGTTAAGATAAATTTGATCCTTCTTAGTAGGTGGAGGATACCATTTGCGGTATCATTCAAACAACAGGATTACTCTTAAATGAAAAAAATGTTTGAGCATCTTTTATCTTGGGTCTTGATGTTAGATCTGTGGTGCTTTATGATTTGTTCAAGAGAAAAACTTGTTTTCTCCCATCTGCAACAGAAATATAAAGAAACCTAGCAGATAACTTTGCAGAATTGAGTTATGGGCAAATCCATTGTTGAACTGGCTTTTAAAAACTGAAAAAGTTATAATTGCAGTACAGATGATTCTAGTAAAATTATTTTTGCATATTTATTTTTGTCTGTGTGGATTTTGTAGAACTGGAAGCTTTGAAAGAACGCTTTGTAAAGCATGCATTTCACACAGCCCAGCCAAAGACGGAACGAACGGTGAGCTTGAATATTATTCGTAAAGAAATGATGAATGATGGCAAAGAGGAGTTGAAAGCAGACGTGGTGCCAGTAACGCTGGCCACAGAGATGGTAGAGGATGCAGCCCGGACCAAACCAGGTATGTTTAGCACCGATTCAAGGTTTAATGTATAGGATTGGTTCTCTTGGAACCAGGATGCTTGATACAAAGGGAGCCCTACCATTTATCGGTGAATCAAACAAATTCTCTTTGGCGTGAGTTGGACTTCAGCTCTATGCGGTCTAGGAAGTTATAAAACTTGAAGTCTAGCTCATCTGTGTCATGCGAACACAGACACCAGCATAGGAATAGTCAGATATAAAAACCAGGCACTTATTACCATCTTTGGTGGACATGCTCTAAAGCCAAAATATTCTGGTTAAGAATACATACGTGGTTAGAGAAGACGACTAAAAAACGTAATAGATTTTAAGCCAGAATTATTTTTGTTAGGCATAATTGTAGGAAATTTTGAGAAAGAGTGCATATATTTAATTTTACATATATTAACTGCAGCAAGAATTGTATTCGCTCAACATTGGAAAAATGAAGATTTACCAACGGAGGAAGAGTTAATTAAAATAAATCTTAGATTGTGCAGAAATGGATAGATTGACATTGAAAATGAAAGAGCAAGATGATTCAGTTTATTTTAGAACAGTGGTTCTCAACCTTTTTAATGCCGCGACCCCAACCGGTCGTAAGTCGAGGACTAAACCGGTCGTAAGTCGAGGACTAAACCGGTCGTAAGTCGAGGACTAAACCGGTCGTAAGTCAAGGACTTTCCCTGCCCGGGAGCGCCATGCATGCATGGTTCCGCCCCCTGCGCCGGCTGAGGCGTAGCTGGCAAGCGGCAGAGACGGAGCAGGCCAACCACCAGCTGGCCCAGCCCAAGGGAGGTAAGGCACCCACCAGAAAAGGGGAAAAAAATGGCGGACAAAAAAAAATGGCGGACAGCCTTGCTTGGCGACCCCCGTGAAATGGTCGATCGACCCCAAATGGGGTCCCGACCCACAGGTTGAGAACCACTGTTTTAGAACATGGGATACCTTTTATCAATGGCTAGAAAAACGAGGTAGAGAGAAAGGAATTTAATATGTATTAGTAAGTTAAATGTTGGAACCCAGACAATATGTTGCTGATAAAATATTAAGCACCTGTGATTATAAAAAAATTGCTTGACGCAATCTTTTTCTGACTTGAAAATTTTCAACCCAAAGGTTTTTTCATAGTTCTATTTCATTCATCAAGAAAGTTTTTTTTTAAATCTATCTATCTATTAGGAAAAACTGTTTTGCCATCAACATGCAAATTCCAAATAAAGAGAAAGAATACTTCAAGCCTGTCTCAGTGCAGATAGTCCTTGTTTAGTGACTGCCTCATTTGGCAACTGTTCACAGTTACGAGGGTGATGAAAAAGTAACCTTATTAAAAATGACACACAAAGTTTTTGGGAAACGTTTAAGACGATCATTACTGGATAGAAAGAAGGACAAAGGCTACAATTATATTTTTTTCATCTTTTTTCTTTTAATTTCTTTCTCGTTCCTCCATTTCCTATTTTCTACCTTTGTTCTTGTTCGTTTTGTGCATCTCGTTGTACTGAAAATTTCTAATAAAAAATAGAAACTTCAGAAAAACTAACTTTACAACCCATCCTTGCCTCTACGACCTTCACAGGTCCATACAGCAAAGGAAAACCGAAAGTGTGGTCATAAGCACAGCTGCGGTTTCACTTAGCAACCGCTTCACTCCATGGCCAAATTGCTGGTCCCAAGTTTGGTCATTAAACAAGGACTAGCCCAGAGGTAGGCAACCTTGGCTCTTTTATGACTCGTGGACTTCAACTCCCAGAATTCCTGAGCCAGCCTGGCTCAGCTTGGAAACCTCTCTCTTTCCCCTCAGCATGGCTGGCTCAGGAATTCTGGGAGTTGAAGTCCACGAGTCATAAAAGAGCCAAGGTTGCCTGCCTCTGGGCTAGCCATACATGTATTTAAGTCTTTCTCTGTTAGACTATATTAAGTACTGCAGGGGTCATCTTGTCCCCAAGAATACAGAACCCTTTGGGTCTTGTTCTAAAGCAGGGGCCTTCNGCAGCTCCACAGTGAGAGTCAGCGACTTGTTAGAGGTATAAAAAAGACCCTATAATGCTTTTAAGAGACCCTATAATGCTTTTAAGACAGGGCTTTTCAACCAGTGGTACGGGTACCACCTGTGGTACATTGGCACCTGCCAGGTGGTACGCGACCATCCTAAAAAAATGGTAGTGTGGGAGGGGAATGAGCTGAACCAGTGGCAGCACTGCACAAGCCTGAGCGGGAGATGGCTGGAGCTGCAGGGCTGTCAGGGCTCAGTGGAAGCGCCAGGATCAGCGACAGGCTCCAGCTGGAGCTCGGCGCTGATCCTGGTGCTTCTGCTGAGCCCTGAAAAAGCGCCGACAGCTGGAATATTGCAGCATTCCAGGGTCTTGTGATTTACATTCAGATGCTTGGCAACTGATTCATATTTATGACGGTCCCAGTGTCCCAGGGTCATGTGAAGTGACCAAAACCTGCTGCAACCACCCAGCAGACGGGGGGGAATAAAAACCAAACACCCCCCCACCCCACCCCCACTGCCAATCCTCAACAGAAATGCTCACAACAATGAAAACCTCGGACAGGAGGAAGAGCGCAGCCGGTTGGGCAGGCAGGTGTCTTGCTCGGCTGTGGCTCGGGGGGCACTTTTTTCAGTGCCATTGTAACTTCAAACAGTCACTAAGCGAACTGTTGTAAGTCGAGCACTACCTGTACTTTATCACTTTTTTCATATATTTTTTTGGTCATCAAGTTTTTGACACCTTGCTAGGCGACTGGTGGTACTCGGATGTTGCCATATCCTAAAAGTGGTACAATAGGTGAAAAGGTTGAAAAGCCCTGTTTTAAGACACCCCAGGGGCAATTTTCATACAGCACTGTAATTGTGCCCCCCAAAAAGTACTCTGTTGACAAGCCATTTGTGTAATTTACCTAAGAAAACACATCAAATTCAATCAAGATGGACTCGGTTCTTTGTGATCCCACAGACCTTCTCCAATCTACGTCCGCATCGGCCCTTCCTTCTGGTCTTGCAAAGGTGCATCCATCATGCTGGAATCAGTTCTGTAAACTGATTCTGGTTGTTCTTTTCCTTCCACCTTTCTCACCATTATGGACTTCTCAAGGCAGCCAGGTCTTCACATAATACAGCACATTCAAAAAGTATTCCTTCCCTTTCGTCAGTTTTGTTAACGCTGCAGCCTGATTCTGCAGTTATTGAAATTCATTTTTCTCTCTTATTAATCTACACTCGAGACATAAAAGTGATCTTGTGATACGGTCGTAATGCAATTAATGGTTTGCTTGGGTTGATTTCCTTCTTCTACTTTTTTTTAATGGTAGAAGCTGCAATGACACTACCTTATTACCTGCCAGAGGCCAAAAGTGTGCAGGAATTCTTCAAGCACAAACCTCGTCCTTCTTTCCAAGGAAGTGCAATGACTTTGCTGAAGTAAGTCCAATTTCCTTTTATTCCTATTCTTTTAACTTCTCACCGTTCTTTGCTGACACCGTTGGAACAGCATAAGTTTATTTATTTATTTATTTATTTATTTATTTATTATTCGAATTTATATCCCGCCCTTCTCCTTACGGACTCAGGGCGGCTGACAATCGATTAAAAAACACCAATAACAATTACAAAATTAAAATTAATTAAAAAGAAATATTTAAATATTGTCTGATTAAAATATAATTAAAACCCCTCTAAAAATTGCCCTAGGCCAGTCCCGCTTGTTGGAATAGCCATGTCTTAAGGGCGCGGCGGAAGGAAGGGAGATCAGGGATCACCCTGATCTCTGGGGGCAGCTCATTCCAGAGGGTGGGAGCTCCCACAGAGAAGGCCCTCCCCCT